CAAGCAGGCCCGGCCCCTGCCGAACGGAGTTGCCGGCGCAGCGAAGTGGAGCTGGCAACTCCGTTTGGCGGAAGGGCGGGCCTGCTTGTTCTTTTATATGTTTCTGTTTTACTGCAGCGGATCACCCTTATGTGAAACCTTCAGTTGTTTTGCCGTCTTCTACGAGGTAGAGGGGGGAGGGTGCGTTAGGTTCAGCAGTCAACCTGCCTGTCCCTGCCTCGGCCGACCCTCGACGCGACGTGAGCGGAGCCGAGCAGCAAGCAGGCAGAGTGGCAGAGTGAAGGCAGTTGCTGGCACCACCGGACTCTGGCAGGCCCACCTCCCGCCTGCTCTCCGTGATAAGTGGTTCTCCGCCTCCAGTCTTCTCTCCGCACGGCGCGCGTCTCATCAAACCTCTGCTTCGCTCCTTGGAGACTGTGGTGAGTAGTAGTCCACAAGTAACGGCCAACGTCGCTCTGCAAGGTAGTAAAGCATTCCGGTAAAGCTGACATGCAAAAGAATGCGGGGAAGAAGAAGAAAACGGAACGGACATCGCCATGCCCTTACACAGTGGCTTCCGTTTTCTTGTTTCCTGCATTCTTCTGCGTTTCAGCTTTACCAGAACGCTTTATTGCGAAGAACTGGTCTCTGTAACGTACAAAAGATTTGGTGCCTTCGCATCTGGGGATTTCACCAAGTTGGAAACGGATCCAAAGTAGATTTGTAATGCTTCCTGGACTGTTCCCGTATCAAGCATCTCGGCCAAGTGGGAATGCTGCAGAATGCAAGCAAACAAGAGACCGGAAGTCAAAATGTTAAAGCATAGCGATTTCCGTTTTCTTCTTCCCCGCAATCTCCTGCATTTCAGCTTTACCGGAATGCGATATTCTGTGTTTCACTCCATGTGTACGCCAGAAGACCACGTTTTGCGTAACAGGCTTCGCGATTTCTCCAGAAACATTTTCCGCTGCCTGACGCGCACACAGCTGCTAGGCCTGCGGCGCTGAGAAGTAATGTATTGGATAACTTCGGGAAAAGGGCGTTACGGCCCAAAGGGGATTCCGCTACTACACAATCGGAACCTAACAAAAAAAAAGCATGACTACCCGATCTGTTTCCTCCTGGACGCCGATTGGCCAAAGGTGGCTGTGGCGGTCAGCCAATGTGCGCGCAGAGGGAAACAGATCGAGCAATCATAGTAGTTTTCTCCTTTAAGCTCCGGTTGGCTTGCGTAATATCACCGCCACACCGACCTACTAGCAAAAGGTCGCTACTAGTGCGTTTCTGTTCGTCATAACAAAGTAAAGAACCCCTAAAAGCAAACATTTTAGACATTTTCAGTGGGAGAAGTGATTTGAGTAGAGTATTTCAGAGCTGGAAAGTGAAGAAGTGAAATGGAAGAACAAAACGCGCACTGCGCATGACCAGACACCCCCCGGTCCATCCCCTGCTTCCCCCACTCCGCGTGTGCGCATGATTAGTGCGCGTTTTTTTCTGTCATTTTACTTCTTCCCCTCCAGCTCTGAAATACCCTATAGGGCAGGGTTGGCATAGAGTATTATATTGTGCCTTATAGAGCCAAATTATTTTGTACTTCTCCGGTGCACAGTGGGAGATTTGACCTCAAAATTGCGACAAAAGTCAAAAATCTAAACTTTAGAATCAACCGATTTTTCTGTTTGATACCGGTAGATGACACCTAAAGTCACAATTTCCCTTCACTTTCACTTCACTTCGATCGCTTATGTTTCGGTTAGGATGTGTTTAAACCGACCCTTGCGCTTGCCTCCGCTCACTCGCCCCGTCAGTCGCTTTGGTAAAATGCTTCGAAATTGGGAAAAACAAGGTCTATAAGAACTGGAAGTGACATTACTTGGTACTTAAGTGTTGGGCAACATTTTAAGTCTTATTAATCATGTCAAAGACTTCCGAATAGGCATAAATCATAATTCTAAAGTTAGGATTTGGAGGTTAGGCGTAATCTTATTATATTAAGTTATAATTTGAGTTCCGCCGAGTTCCACTCTAACATTTGCACCAAATGGTAGCTACGATACTAATTAACGTATCCCGCTTGAGAACAGGTGCCACAAGCTGCCACCTTGGCGATGCTGAGCATTCGAAAATGGCCTTTTTGGGTGGAAGTGCTCGGATGGCTCTGCCAAAAATGTGCCATAACATGTAAAATGGTTGTGTTTGAACTCCTGAACATTTACCTGTTGCTGTACGGCGTTCATAGAAAAAGAACCGAAAACTTAGGAATTACAGAAACTTTTTGGGGGTGGGTTGGGTAGGGTGGACCAATTTTGCACTTTTCCGCTCTTTTCACTAAATTGGCAGGTTTTTGATGACATTACCCCCCTAGAAAACTCCGTAATTCCGAATTATATGTCAATCGTGGATAGATTTGACTTTTGTCGCGATTTTGAACCTAAATCTCCCAGTGCGGTGCTTAATTCAAAGTGCAAGATTTGAAGGGCGAAATACATTTATGGTGTATAACTATATTCTGTGAAAATTGAAGGTGTCTTTAAAGTGCGAAACTCTTTATTAATTTCGCCCTCATTGGAAAGATCGACAATATTTTAATTAAACAGAAGAGAGCAAATTATTAAATTAAATAGACCATTCCACCGAGTGTAGAAGACGAAGGAAAAGAATCATGAAGTACCAAAAACGGTATTTAAAAACAGTATGTAGATTATTTTTGTGCACCTCTGCAGCACTCCAACAAGTCCAGAATAATTATTTTTATCAAGAAAACTAGAAAATGTTAACAATTTGATTTGTTTGTCAATACTGTTTCCGGTGCTTTTTGATTCTTTTCTTTCTTCTTCAACATTCGGTAGAATGGACTATTAAAATGTAGATGGTTTTGACCCTTACGTAACAATGAGCTATAAGTGACGCTTAAACTAATGCAAAAAAGTTATTGATTCGATCGGAAATCGCTCTTATCTGGGTGACAGAGCGCACAAACGCACAGAATACTGCATGGAAGGTAAAGACTGCTGCCGACAGCCCGCCGCAGAGAAAGGAGAGAGGATGGAGGAAGGGGGGGGGGGGGGGCTGTTTAATAAAGTTGGTCAAGGGAAGGTCTTAGCGGTTTTTTCACTAAACTAGACCCCCACAAAGTAGCCCCTACGAACATGAGAAATCGGGCGCTCAAAATAGGGGTTTCGGTTCGATTTTGCAAACTAGGTGTCCATTAGGTGTCCACCTAGTGTCTCAGGCCGTAGCGAATTTCACCAGGAAGCAATCGGAGGAGGTGTTTGATTCCTCGCGCCCTTCAAGATGAAGGTCGGGCAAACCTTTTGACGGGCGGGCCAAGTCGGCCACCCCACGCGTTCACCCGGTACAACCACCTTAAGTAGGGGTTGATTTTGCTCACCCCGCCCCATGGGAAACGCACGTCGCAGCAACGTCGACAAGACGTAGATAGTCTAGGTCGGTACAACGTAGATCGGAGCGTTGCTGCGGTAGAGATTTTGACCGTGGATTCTAGGTAGATGCAACGTGAATTATAAGGGGTCGTTCTCTACGTGAACGCAACGTTGCTGCTATGTCGGGCAGACTATATCGCGGAGGAGGTACAATTCGATCTGTGTGGCTGTCTTTGCTTAGTCGAAATGAGGGCATTTGTGCCAAAGGAATAGTTCAGTTCAGAGGTGCCACCCGTACCGTACGGGTACCCAAGGGCACACGGCACACTTGCACTTGTTTCAAAAATCTAATGTACTGTGACTGGCCACTCTCTTCGGGCGTGTACGATGTGACAGGGGACAGGCTGAGGCTGGTAATTGTCCGGTTGTCAACACTGCAAAATGCTTGCAAAGAATAGGTTCGTATTGCAAACTATTTTCTTTGCAGCTTGCAAAGAATTTTCAAGCATCGTAATACGAACTAGTTCTTCGCAAGCTTACAAACTATTTCTTTGCAATGCAAACACATTGTTTGCAAGGATTCTGCCAGCTTGCAAAGAACTTCTTTGCAATACGAACTA